AAATTAGGGTCCCCTTTTAGGTCCCAGATATAGTACGGCACCCTTTTTAAAAAACGACCCAAAAAGGGACCCTAATTTAGAGAACTACCCTCATAGCATATGGCATATTACATTGGTTGGAAATTGGATTCAGATGCCCAGTGACCGGAGGCAGAAGCTCGGGCCTTCAAAAGAGAGGAGACGGTGGCCTTTGCTGAAAGGAAGTCCTCGGCCGTGGCCGCGTCCGTGGCCATGGCGGCCGTTGCCACCGCCACGTCCAGGGGGTTCTTCTCGTTCGCATCACGAGCATCTGTACGGGCCTTGTGCTCCAGAAGTAGCTTCACCACATCGCCTGTGCCACCTCGCAAGGCGTTGGCTGCACAAATATGCAGCACAGTGCGTCCCATGCCGTCTGTTGCATCCAGCGCAGCTTCGGTAGCTTCAGTGTTGAGGCCCTGCAACTTTAGCAAGGCATGGCGGACGCTGTTCACGTCACATGCTTTCACTGCTGCTCGCAATGTTAAAGGCTTTGCAGCCGCACTTGTGGGCCCTGCTTCTGCTGGATATCCAGAGCGGGTATAAGTCGAAGATGACCGCGCACCGCCATATGTCGCAGAAGACGGTGCGCCATCTGTCGGAGCGATGTCTGCACCTGGAAAGTCTGAGTGGCTCTTAGGTAGCCTGGTGCAAGGACTAGCTGAGCTCGAAGCCTGTCTGCGACTCATCACCCGCCGACGGCTGAGCCATCAAGTCTCGCCATTGCAAGGAAAGGGAAAGCTTATTTCAATGCGCCCGACCTTGTGTAAAATGAGCTGAATAGAACAAGGCCTTATCATTTATCTGGTAAGTCCTGGCTGGACCAAATGCAGCCTTCTGTTTCTCAGACCTGCTCACTCTGCAGCTCGAAAAATCAGATTGCAACAGACACGTCGTCATAAGAACATGTACAGTTCGTCATGCCAAGAGCATTTCTAGCCAAACCAGCGGACAAACGATGAATAATTTGGGAGCGGTAGCAGAGGAAAGATGCAAAGCCTTCTGAAGTCTTAGTATAGTGTAGCGCGCAGCTGACGCTGGGAGTCTACACCCCTGTTTTCCCAGAATGCACTTCCTGAAGAATTACGTAAGCTTGGATTCTAGATTGTTCCGCATCCCGAACCTAATTACATCTGGCTCCAAGCCACCTCGCCTTGAATAGTTCACGCGAGCCATAGCTTCGTAGGCTGGCTCATAGTTATTGCATGGCTTCGTATTAGAGTATTAGATCAGGGTTCAAGCCGACCTTGATTTGCAACAACGGGTCATTTCCTCCACGCACGCAGCTGCAGATCATGTGCCGCATTTGTTGCTACAGCACGGCGGCCACAGCAGGCTGAAGGAGTCGTTGCTGCCAGCCGCGTGAAACACATGTCGCCAGCGGGCGAAGGTTTCGGAGGGGTGAAACTGCGCTTTTTGCGCTGAAGACGAAGTATAGACTAAAGTCAGTCATCAGCGAACATTACGATGGGTAGCTCGGTCACAGTCAACCTCTCTTAGGACTCTAGGCAGCAGTCATATGCACATGAGACCAAGAAGGTACTGTATAGAACTAAACTAAGACGCTGGCTCGTCCTCCGGCCTGGTCTTGCTGGTAATGAGGGAACCCGAGCAAGGCCGACCTGACGGGATTTCTCTTCATGTGCTTTTGTCGTGGAGTCTCGGTCTCTCCATTCCGTGTTCTGTCCCGTGCATTTCAGCAGGTTCCTGAGATTTGGCCATGCCTATGCCAACATTATGCAGCCTTCTTGATGCGCGTAGCTTCGACATGCTTGAACTATAAGACCGCGCATCGGCCTTGAGACATCGGCACGCCCGGGGCCTCAGCGACCAGCTTTCACGATGACCGCCCCTTACCCCTGTGCCCGTCTTAGCCTTTCAAGCTTCGGCCCAGGCCGGTACAGCATGAACGGCGGGAGTTTGATGAGGCGTTCGCCTGATTCTGGAAACGAAGGCATTGCAGCCACCGATGCACGAGGCAGGCCGTGGTGTCTCCTTTTCTCCAAACCTCTAGGCACGAGTCCTCTGTCATCACCGCTTACTGTATGGGTTATAACGAGCACTGTCAGTCTAACCAAGCTCGGGCCACGTGCCCTCAAAAGGCTACTCAGAATAGACCCACACATCAAAAGATGAACCGAAAGCGCTTCGTATCACGTCTGCGGGCCAAACCGAAACCCCATCTGCTGTGCCCGAGTCGGTTTTCGAATTGCCGTAAGGCTCACCTTCTGCCGACACATGTTCGGGCAAAAGCTCTTCCGCTCTGGAACTGGCAACTCGTAGCCAACGCAAGCCCCATGAGACCCGAGGACCTTCGAGACGCATGGCCGGCAGCTTGGTGATTTGAGCCAGTTCCATCGACACATTGAGCTTGTCTGCAAACTGCCATGCAGTCCAACGTGCGGCGTGCGGTAACTTCAGAAATGGCAAGGATTCACAGGCAGGCACCTGGTGTGATAGACGTGCTGCATCAACGTTGGATGGCCGCAATCACACTCTCCAGATGTGCGACGTTGCTGCTCTTGCAGCTGGCGCAGGTGCCTCTCGAAGGAACACGGCGCGCAAACGCGAACCGTCCAGTTCGGGCACTCATTGGGAGTCGATGATGCGCAAAGAACCGACTTCCAATTAAGGTACTTCCAATTAAGGTACTGTATTCCCAATCCTGTTGACTCAAGCTGAAGAAGCGCTTTATGTCTGGGTTCCCCGCTGCATTTGCATGGCAAGCCTCAGCAACTCAAGCTGAATGCAAGCACAGGATCTGCGGCAAACGTCTTGGCTGTCGGGCTTCTCTGATTCATGCATTCGCTTTGTCAGCATATCTCGGTGGCGTTGTTGTTGAAGATGCTGCTGAAGCCTCGCAATATAAATATCCGGCGACGCAGCGATGTCTGTGTAAGTTTTTGGGGCGGCAGACACTTGCTGGCGATGCGTTTCTTCCTGCTGGATCTGGAGCCTTCGAAGGTCTTCCTGCAAGAATGCAAGATCAGCTGCTGTGAGCCGCTGGTAGATTCCGCAGATTCCTGCTAAGCCAATCGTGCACCATGTGAACGAATCTAGGGCATCTAGGGTGTGTCTCTTTAATCCCGGACCGATGCACGCCAACGGTTTCCCCAGAAACCGGCAAAAGCTTCAGGCGGTCACAGGATGAAGCTTCTTGAGCCTATAAAGGTCAAAACAGCTGGCAGATTTGAGGACCTACAAGTCGAAAGATGAAAGAAAACCGGTGTGGTCCTGGCTGATGGGTGGCAGCCACTGCTGTGCCGGGCCTGGAGCCTGCACGAAAGCAGTGGATTCAGAGCTGAGCTGACACGGCGAGAGGCGAAGGAGGGTCGGCCTGATGCGCTGCAAGCCTGCAGATCGCACATGCATCGACTGCATCGATGTATCAGTTACCCGCTTCCCTCAGCGTGCCTCGGTCCAACCTGCACAGCGACCGGCAAGGACAAGCGAGGACAAGGCCCACAAGGCAAGCTTCATCATTTAAGCAGGATGTCCTGCACGTCAGCTTGCATGGTTTCCACAAACTCCCCCCGGGAGTCGTCAGGATAAGCGGTCACGCAGCATTTCCTGAACCCGTACCATCCGCGACATGACTGCGCGACATGACTGCTCGACACAGCATTGGGCCCCGCCTCTGCAACTGACAGGAATGAGACTGGGACGCCCCCATGCTGCTCGCTGCTGCTTGCTGCATCTACATCACTTCCTTGCATGAAGCTGAGCCAGAGGTGCCAGCATCAGTTGCCGAAACAGCATGCGATTACGGGTTGAATGTCCTTTCGCAAATGCGGTCCGACAAACGACGCTGCAAAATCTGAACGAGGAATCAGTCCGGGTAACACGTACACAACATGACCTGCACTGTCCGCAACTACCAGGCCACATGCGGAACGATTTTTACGTCCACGATGCAAAGACGAAAGCTTAATTAACAGCCTTCCTTTATCCTCTAACCGCGCGCGCACGCATGTTTGGCTCTAGCCACACGCCATCGACACGGGCCCAGAACCTTGTTCCCTGGGCCTGGAAACCTGGCTTAACCGTGTGATTCTTTGGTTGCGGTCTCGGGCTGCACACCCCGAATGCTCTGATTGGCGGCAATTCTGTGCCTTCATAAGTAGCTGGGTCAGGATGAAAGAAGTGGGATGGCTGGACCGGGGCCCGAGAGGATGAGCCAAACTGCCAGCAAAACTGTCGGTTAAGGTAGTTTCGTGGTCATGCAGTGCTTCCAAAACATCAGGGGGGCATGCCACCACTGAACATAGAAGGGCTTTACCCGAGGTTTCCCTCTTTGAAAGCTGATGCCGACTGTGGTGGCACACTGTCTGAGCCCAAAGCTCACCCTGTCCCGGTCCCTTCCATTTTCTCCTATAGTTCTTTATCTCGGACCGCCGCTGGGACCTCCAATTGAAGGCGCAGACGCGTACAGCGCTGAAGGACAACTATATACAACTCGCTCCTGCTTGTAGAACGACTAATGCGTAGCATCAGAGCTCACCGTGCTGTGTCTGGTTCAGGTCGACATTGCTAGCCTCAAGCACAAGCAAGTCGAAGCTCGCTAGACAACAGGTCCAAGAATCGCCTCTGAACGCACTGTGGTGCGCAAGGTGCTGCTCAGGGAGTAGTGGCCGCTGTCGATGAAGCACTGAAGCAGAGATCAATATTGGCAACGTGCTTTGCGAAATTTCCCTGAAGATCTCCTTTCCTCGTCGTCCATTAGCAGGGCGAGGTCCTGGAAAAGACGCTTCTGTGAACTCTTGCATAGAGTCTCGGCTGCCTCGGCTCGTAACGGGAGTCCTGGTCACGTTGTCCTCGGACTTGGATAGCGCTGAAGGCACAGCTGGGACGGAGACCTCACTTCCGCGCTCCGACGTGGCATTGGGGGACTCCAGAAACAGGCCTGCCTTGCGGCAGTTGACAGACGTCATCGAGATCCAGAATGGTTCGAAGGCCTCGCTCCTTAGCGCAGCTTGGGAGTGGCCGAGGTTCTGGTGGTGCGCGCGCAGGGGGGGCCGGACAGGCACGGCGCCGGCCAAAGCCCAGGTACTCGTTACCAAAAGCAGCCAACCTCATGCAAAGAGCACGCTGCTCCCTGACTTGATCTTCCGGTCTCTGGCCTGGCATTTGTGGAAAAGAGGTGGGAAGGGTTGCCCGCCAGCTGAAAGCCCAAGGTCAGGCACATTCGGCATTGTCAGCGCAGTGCAGGACTATCCCAGAACAACAAGAACTGACCAGGCAACAGATCAGCGAAGCGACTGCAGACTGTAGACCTTTCGTGAAAAAGCTGAGCCGGCTCTGTGTTTTTCACAGGGTGTAACTCAAAGTTTCGGATCCACCATATCAATACTAGGATGCTGTCTCTGCGCCCTACACCTCGCACTTCTCAGTCTTCGTCTCTATCTTGTCCACAATGGAACTGGTGGCCTCGTCTGAAAGGAAGCTGTGACAGGCCGCACAAAATCACGACTTCGGGATCTCGCCATCTGCAGCCCTTTTTTGATCCCTTTTTTCGGATCTTGCCTTTTGCCAGAGCAGGTACAGAAGGCCCGACGCCACCACAACACGGAAGTCCTTGCTCCAGCGAAAGCTCCGGTCTGGCTCCCAGCAAGTCTCTTGGACTCAAAGGTGTCAGGACGAGTTTCGACCAGCTCCAAAGCAATGCCGATCCAGGACAAGAAGCCCTTGGTTGAGCCAAGACTATCTCTGGCTGAACAAGAACACCACACTTTCCAGCTCCTTTCATCAGTGTCATCCGCCCGTGATCACCCTCGCCATCACCAACCACAGCAGCATGCGCAGCTGCACCAGCACCGCCACCAACCCGCAGCATCACGCAAGCACAATCATTTCACAAGACGATCTTCCGCTGTCATCGTCATCACCATCAACATCACTAACTCGCACGCCCCATCAGCTGCCCCAAGTAAGCCCTCTGCTGCTGTTGCTAAGTGGTGCTCCCTAAAGGCTTGTATTTAAGGGCCGAGAATCGAGGAGAAGGCCATGTCGAAGCTTTGCCAGTTTGCGGTGCCAGAGTAGAATCGCCAAGCCTGGGACCTTCGCAAAGGGCAAAAGCGGCAAAAGCCGCTTTTGCCACAAAGACAAGAGTCTGGCGAGGCGTCGTGCCAAGCAAAACCAGCCAAAGCAGTCAGCTTCCTTCGTCTTGGTCGCGCCGTGCACGGTCGCCTCGTCACCAAGTGAGTAATCCCGGTTAGCGGCCGTAGCCAGGGCAAGCCACGGTGTGAGGCTTCGGCCGTAACGCTGGCGTGGACTGCCAGCAGCTCCTAGAAGACTTCTGCCCCGCACTTCTATCAAAGACAGCTTTCGCAACAGAAATAGCACTAAGTCGCTCTGCAAGTTCCTGGGGGTGTCCCGGAGACCAGCTGGAAGTACAACAGAAGAAGTTGTGGCAAGAGCTCGAACGCACAGAGAATACTGAGGATGCTGCTCTTACGCAACAGGACCACATTACGCGGAACATGTTGTCTTCGCACGCACTTACGGCTTGGAAGCACACGCGCCTGCGCGCGAGCGCGCACATGTTACAAAGAAGGGTTTTCGGCCAGAGCGAGGAGGCTTTGTCTTGTGCGAGTGCGGAGCAATACTTCAACACATCACGAAACCCCTGGGTTCCATGGTGAGCTTGCAGCAGTGTAGCGAATTCACTGGAGCAGCGCACTTGGTACACCTCATCCGCTTCGTATTGGTTTCATAATCATCATCTTCTTATTCTGCTTCTCCTTCTTCATGCCTCATCATCATCGTCATCGTCATCGTCATCGTCATCATGATGGCGTCATCATCAACAGGTCCGCACCATCATGCTGGCATCATTCTGTCATCCACCCCTCAGCTCGTCATCAGCAGGTTATCATCGTCATGTCGTCATCCCCCCCCCCTCACCCCATCCTAAATTCCAAATTCAGCTCCGAAATCCAATCTCCGAAGTCCTGAACACAAAATTCGTTCCCGAGAAACCCCCAGGGACAAGACACTCACTACCACGACCGAGGACTGAAACCAAACGAACAGCAGCACGTGCTGGCGGTAGTGCAGCAGTGAACAATGGCAGGAAGGTGGAGAACATCAGCATCAGTCGTTGTGGCAGTGAATGGGCAACGTCAGAAGACTATTCAATGATACTACTCACAAGGAGGAGGCCTTTCCATTTCGAAACTTGAGAAGTACAAGTACTATCCAAGGCAAGACAGCGGCCAGCAGCCCAGCAGACCCAGTCATCGTCTTATCAGACAAGCGATTGCGATTACGACGGAACGGCATGAGAACCTCAGAAGATGAACGCCAACAGCGCTACACCTTCGATTCACCGCTGCCTCCCGATCACTCCAGGGAAGCTCCGCCGTCTCGGCCTCATTATAAGCTATGCCATGCACCGCCACCGGCGAAAAGAATAAAGTGGCATAAGGACCGCACGTGGCACTCCTTGGATGCCTCGCTTCGAAGAGCTGAGATACCATGGCTTCTCTACTAGCAAGGCTCTCGCAAGCATGGCCTGGTGAGCTTCCGGGTCCGAGGGGCAGTATGCCGCAACCTTACGAGGAAGGTGGAGCCCGTCGCGGGTACCCACACATCTCATGGCTGCCGCTGGTGTAACAATCTCCTGCTTCTGCTCCTCAGAAATGGCGGTGCTTTTGCCCATTGCCTTCATCCATTCGTCCTGCGGGCAGAATCTTGCCTGCAATATCTTGCCACTGGCGAAACACCATTGTGGCCCTTAGAAGCCCTGAGTCGTCGACGGGCGTCTGCGGATTCGTCGTCTGAGAAGCGCGAGACAAGGAAACACGGTGCCGTCCAAATGTGCTGTGGCTTCGAGTCGCCAACGCCAGCAGCATGCGGGTATGGGCACTCACGGGGAAAGGCATGGTGCCTCGGACATGGATGCAGTGACGGCCTATCGTCTGTTCGCCCCTCTTCTGCCAGGCCACATCCACTGAGCAAAAAGGCGTCCATGCAGCGGCACCTGGCTCAGCTCACGGGTGTTTTCATGAATTCTCATGATCATGTCCATGAATGCTGACCCCACTTTTGCCTGGCCGTCGTCGTTTCCGATGGAGCGCAAGCGCTCCAGCAGCTTTGCCTGGCAATGCTGCCATCCGGCCTTTGCTCCGCACACCACAGTCTTCCACCTCGAACTTCTCGGGGCTCGAGCGCTTGGCCCTGTCACCACATCGCAGAGTTGAAGAGCCCACACAGTCCACACAGCCCAGACTCGCCGAGAAGCATAGTGTCAGTGGACAGGTTCGCCACCAACGCAGCGAGCTGGTCCGGGGTCGCATAGGGTGCGCCGACCTGGCGACCAAGGCTCCACGCTTCGAGATTTCAGGCTCGCCAGATCTCGCACCTCTTTTTCCAGGGACGCAAGCAAGCCCTCGCAGGGGTTACGGCAGCAGACCTCGTACGACAACCGAAGCTGGCAAATTCGTGGCTCAATGCTCGGGGCATCGGCGGCATAGAGGCTTGTGGCTCGAAGGCAATTGTTGAAGCCTAGGTTCGTTTGGCAAAATCCGGGGACAAAATGATGCTCGGCCCACAGCTCGGTGGCAGGCTGCTCAGGTAGTTTGCCAGCAACACATGCGGCCGTTGAGGATCAGTCTCGTCCAGGGCTCCCTGAAAGAACAGAAGCTGCCCCAGAGCACTCCAGGGTTCCCAGCTCTTTTCCAAGAAAGAATAAAGACACAACGTGAACATGTGAGCATGCACACATATATATATATATAGATATAGATATAGATATAGATATAGATATAGATATAGATATAGATATAGATATAGATATAGATATAGAGAGAGAGAGAGACATACACGGCGACGAATTGTTGATGCATGCAGGTTTGTTAATATCTAAACAGACATTTTTACACTACCTCCGTCGTGGTCGGGCCCAGGGCCGAGAAGACGATTTGCGATGGCGAGAACTTTTGCTTGGTTTTCAAAGATGCGGGAAACATGTGAGGAACAGAACCTTTGTTTTTGACGTGTATTGTTCTACCTGATCCGGGGGGGGGAGGACGCCAGACGCTTGACCTTCTTTTTTGGAGCTGCATCTTAGTTGCATTAAACTACCAAGGTCCCTCTTTCTATACAACTACCTGCCACATACGTGCGGGTATACACATATACAAAAAAAACATGCCGTCGATGTATGTGTGTGTGTGTATGCTTTGCACATGACGAATCGAAGGTCTCAGCCGTGGGGCAAGGTCTCGGAGGTACTCCTCAGGGCAAAGAAAAGGCCAGGTCTCTGTGTGCAAGCTGGCCTCTCCATCTCAGGACCGGGCCGGGCTCTCCGTGAACCTTAGAGATCTCTGGTGTTGAGGTCAAACCCGGAGGATGCCGGAGGTGAAATTTTAAAGGCTTTGGCCTCCAATGGTTGTGGTTGGACCTCGCATGCTCGTGTCTGCTCGTGTTTGAAGCTGTAGTCTCGACACCGGCACCGGCACCGGTCAGCAAAGTTGTGTAGGCACGCGGCTTGTTGTAGAAGTCTGCAAGCGGAATCCGGCCAGGTTTGCGGCTCCCCCCCTCCATGTCCATCAAAGTTCGCTTGAGTTGCTGACATTCCTTGTGCAGAGCAGACTGCCCGCGCTCATGCTAGGCAGAAGTGGGCAAGGAAAAAAGGCACGCCAGTACAGTTCAACTGCACCCGTTCCTGGTCGTTGAACTCCGGGTATCGGTCGCCAACCTCCCAAACCACCTCCGTCCATGCAAAAAGACATGCGCTAGATGATGAATCTTGCATTACACAACAGTTCGATGGACTCTCACAGCTTGAGCAATCCGGGCGAGGTGTCTGAGAACAGTCGAGGTCTGGAGGCATTCGTGAGCCCATGAGGAGGCAAAGCGGCAACGGCTTTGGCAGAACCTTTCCACAGTGTGTTGTCGACAACCTGTCTCTGACTAAGCTCAGGGAAGACATGCCAGGTCGGGCAATGCAAATGTCTCCTCCCTTCCACAGATTGACGTAGGGACACGTAGTGTCTAGTTAGCGTCGACATGAATCACGCCAAAATACCTTGCTGGGCCACGCCGTGCCTCTTTCAGGCGTCCGAAGTCCACACCCGAATCGCTATCACTGTTCGTCAAGTGCTCCTCCACCAAGCCCTCACAGA